GAGTTTTGAAATAGAAGAAATAAAAAGTTTGTAATGCGTCCAAGTGAATGTTATAGCGTTGTCAATACTGAGCAAAGGCTGTTAGTCTTATTGTGCACTTTTCCCCACTATTGGTGCAATTTGTATTTTTCTTAGATAACCTCACTTTCTACAAAGCCGATTTGGTCGCTGCTTGGAACAGCGGAAAGGGCCGGGCTGAGCTGATGTTTTTTTGAACACCATGCAAATATCAATGTGGATAATGCAATTTTGAAAGAAAAAAGCCACCAATTTGAAATGGAAGTAATGGGAAATACGGTGCTTCCAGTCGGTGCAAATACGGCTATTTTGGAGAAGAAGTTGTATAAATCAGACAGGCGTCACCACTCAAGAAAGCACAGCCGATTACATTCCTTCGCTGATGTGTTCAACTGAGCTTTGGATACATCAGATCCAATTATTTTATCCCTTAACTTATCGAGATGCATAAAAACTAAACAGTCTTTCACTTTCAATTGAGGTAAGTGTGACGATTGCGAATACGAATGTTTGTCTCAAAGAAGACAAATTTAACGATTCCAGCTTGTTTTTTATACCCTTGCAGAGGGTATTATATTTTTGTCCAAAAGTGTGCAACGCAGTGAAGGAGACATCTCCGAGCCTATAAAGTATATATATTCTTGATCAGAATCACCTTCTGAGTTGATATGAGCTTGTCCGTCTGTCTGTCTGTCCGTTTCTACGCGAACTAGTCTCTCAGTTTTAAAGCTATCGTCTTGAAAATTTTCACACCCTTATTTTTTTTTTCCGTGCAGTATATAAGTCGGAACGGCCGGGATCGGCCGACTATATCTCATAGCTGCCATATAACTGATTGATCGGGAATGGTATAACTTCGGTGTTTTTAGAGCTGTTTTTTTATTTTACACGAGAGCTAAAATATTACGACCTGCCAAATTTTATAAGGATCGTCCGACTATATCCTATAGCTCCCACACAACTGAACGATCGGAAATGACCCAACTTTCGTTTTTTTAAAGATAGAAAGTGGGAACTTAGTACAGATTATATTTTTGGTCAGTTAATCCGACCTACCAAATTTCAAAAGGATCGGCCGACTATATCTTATAGCTGCCATAAAACTGAACGATCAGAAATTGCTTCGGATATATTGGTAATTGGGAAAAATACCAACTTTGGTACTTTTAAAGATAGAAGCTTGGAACTTTTTTTTAGATTTTTTACTGTACTGTAATAAATTGGTTATGTTATGATATTCTCATAAGGATCGGCCAACTATATCCGATGTTTGCGATATATATCCGGTTTTAACTGCAAGGGTATATCAACTTCGGCTCCGCCCGAAGTTAGCCTTCCTTTCTTGTTAGTACTGGTTTTCCCCCCTTTTCGAAAAATCAATACATATTGCAGGTTTTTATGAGGTTTTATTTATTTATTTTTATACCCTTGCAGAGGGTATTATAATTTTGGTCAAAAGTGTGCAACGCAGTGAAGGAGACATCTCCGACCCTTTAAAGTATCTATATTCTTGATCAGGATCACCTCCTGAGTTGATATGAACATGTCCGTCTGTCTGTCTGTTTCTACGCGACCTAGTCTCTCAGTTTTAAACCTATCGACTTGAAACTTTGCACACACCCTTCTTTCCTTTGCACGCAGTATATAAGTCGGAACGGCCGTGATCGGCCGGATAAATCCTATTGCTGCCTGATTAACTGATTGATCGGAAATGGTATAACTTCGGTGTTTTTAGAGTTAGAGAGTTCAAATTTTACACGAGCGCTATTTTTGGCAAGGATCGGCCAACTATATCCGATGTTTGCGATATATACCCGGTTTAAACTGCAAGGGTATATAAACTTCGGCTCTGCCCGAAGTTAGCTTTTCTTTCTTGTTTTTTTTAATATTTTTTATATCTCTAATGCAGCGCTACTCGAAGTTCGGGAGGAGAGCAATCGGGAAGACGATGCTGTTAGAGGTTTAAATTAAATTTAACAACTAATGGAGCTATATTTATACCCTTGCAGAGGGTATTATAATTTTGGTCAAAAATGTGCAATGCAGTGAAGGAGACATCTCCGACCCTATAAAGTATATATGTATATTCTTGATCAGGATCACCTCCTGAGTTTATATAAGCATGTCCGTTTGTCCGTCTGTCTGTCTGTTTCTACGCGAACTAGTCTCTCAGTCAGACATGCCAAATTTCATAAGGATCGGTCTACTATATCCTATAGCTGCCATATAAGCTATAGTTAACCATATAACTATAGCTGCTTTCCTTTCTTGTTAGTAAAAATTTTAGTTATTTTTAAGAAAAATTTAAGCTAGTAAAAATTAAGTAAAAATGGTAATATGGCCCACTCTTGACGTAGGCAGCCGGCATAGGCGTGGTCAAACTTCAAAATCAACATAATTCGCATATCCACAATATCTAAAATTGGAGTTTATGAAAAAAAAACGGAGTTACCGCCCAAAGTGGGCGTGGTCAAATTTAAAAAACAAAATTCGACAAAAATAGTTTAAACATACATATATGCAACATTTTAGCCCAGTATCTCTGAAATTGGAGTTTATATAAAAAAAACGCTGTTTCGGCCTATAGTACATAGGTGCAAATTAGGAATACAAAATAATAAGGAATAAGGAAAAATAATAAGGAAAAATAAGGAATACAAAATAAAGAATACTCTGTCATTGCACTAATGCACAATAAAATGCTATAGACACATTTAGTCAACGTCACCTATTTTACATGTTGTGTTTCCTATACTATTTGAAAGTTCCCACAAAAAAATTTAAATTCAACATCAGATATAGTTGTTTGATCCTTAAGCCTAGTACTCTGACGACGAAAATCTGCAATCCGCACGTGTGCTAGCGAAATCGCTCTTTATTTGGCTACCGAGCTAGAGTGACCAAAAAAATTAAGGAAAAGGGTAATACTGAACAGCTGTTGTTTGTAAACAAAAAACAAATAAGCAAAAATGAATTCAAACCGATTAGATTTTGGTGTTTTCTTTATGTATTTCGCCACTAAGGAGCTGATTAAGAAAAAGAAAACTGGGAAAAATCAAAATCAATCACAAATCATTTCATTGCCATTTTATGGAATTAAAATGCCCCTTGTGGGTCAAATCCCATATTATGGGCTTCGTCTTGACCGTACTAATTAGCTTGACTTTATCCTCGCGGGCCGAATATTTTTGGGTCCGACAATTTTTTTCTTTCAATTTTCGCTCCATGTTTTGGGTGTCAAAATAAATCAAAAGAATTATTTTTACACCCCGAGATAAGCTATGTACATACATATATACTTAATGTGGTCGGCATTGTCTCCTTCAATGCGGTGCGCACTTTTGACCAAAACGAAATAATAATGAATGATTAATGTAGTTATTTGGATTTTTTGTACTTTTTCCAATAAAAAAAAAAACACAATCTGCTTATTTATTGCCATTAAGGTTAAGGCGAAACAAAGTTCGCCGGGTCAGCAAGTATCATAATAAAAACAATTTATTATAATAAAAAATCTAAAAAAAATTACCAAGTTTCCATCTTAAAAAATACTAAACTTAGTATTTTTACCTTATACCATTTTTGGTTGTTCAGTTTTATGGCAGCTATAAAATATAGTCTGCCGATCGTTATGGCATTCGGTAGGTCAAATTAACTGACCAAAAATAGAATCTGTACAATGTTCCAACTTTTTATCCCCAAAAACACCAAAATTGGGTCAAATCCGATTTTTCGAAAAAAAAATCTTTGGGATCTTTTCATTTCCGATCTGAAAACCTTTTACACTTAATCTGCAAGCATTTCAGAACTCTGTGCTATATCACAGCATTGTATATGTTAAACCAAACGAGAAAAATTCATATTATTTTCCGACAAATTTTAGATCCGGAGCTGGCCTGTACTACTGTTTAACGAATTTATATTGAGGGGACCCCCCCCCATTCTCGATTTTAAATTTTGACGATTTTCAATGGGCTGGCAAATGAACATAAATTATTTTTTAGGGTTGTAACTGTGCTTACAAATATTAAGACACAAAAAGGAACAAAATCATTTCACAGAATTTTTTTTTGTTTTGTTTTTGTTGTTGTTTTTTGTGATCAAAGAAAAGCCCTTCTTTTCGGCGGCGCATGTGATTTCCGCTCACTGGAACATCTGAATCCAAAAATTCCAACGGGATTAGAAAAAGTACATGTTTGGCTCTCGTATGAACTAGCATTATTAGCTTGGCTCAAAAATTAACAAAATGGCGGACCTTTGAAATTTTTTTTTGGTAATTTCCATTTTTTTCAGCCACAAATCAAGTTGAAAAGTAAAGAAGATCTTCACCGATTCGATTTATCCTAGTTCATACGAGAGCTATATATGTATAGAATAACGTGTTAAAATTTGGAACGTGTAAAACCGATTGGATTAATAGTTTTTGAGTAACCTCATGCGCCAGTCATAAAAACACTGTTTCGAGAAAAACGCGTTTAAAGTTTTGAGACGGCTCTCGCCGTCGCCTGAGGCTTCCACCATAAATCGGCTATATCTTTAAGAGTTTTTGAAATTTGTACTTGAAATTTTCAGGGAACATTCTTGAATAGTTACAAGTTCGAATTAAATTTAAAAAAAAAAATCGATTTTTTAAAACCGAGAATGGGGGGGTCCCCTTAAGATAAGTGCCCTGTGTCCGCGAATAATACAAAATTAGAGTTTCCCACCACTGATTTGAATGTACCATCTTCAACTATCGGTAATAGATATTGTACACAACAATATGTGACTATCGATTGTCTAAGCATCTGCCGCAAGCGCATGTGTGCTGCCATACATTTGGCATATAACATAACGACTAATTTAATTAAAATTATTGGAGATTTAGATAGAATTACGAGTATTTATGATAAAATTTAAATAACGATTTAATTAATTTTTATTTTAAATTCATAATTTAAAATAGGAAATCTTTATCTTCTCAGCAGTTTTAATTTTTTGTTCTTCTCAATGTATTTTGTTTAGTGTATCCTCATATTTTTTATATATTTGCAACTTTGAAAAATCAAAAATAATACGCAACTCTAATAAGCCTTTGTTTTGAAAATTCTGGCAGCACTGTTTTCAACATGCGTTGCGCACTTTTTCAACGCTGACAAGTTCAGCGAATAACAAAAATTTAGAGGTTGAAGAGTTTTCTACGAAAGATGGATTTTGGTAATGCCCTATCAACAGGAGAAAATTTTACGGTAAGTTTAATGGATTAATGGTTGATTTTTCAACAATAAAAACTTTGGTTTTAGGTGGTGGCCGAACGATTCATCATGGAGTTTCTGAGTTCTGAGACCCTAGATCCAAATAGTTGGATTAGCAAAGCGTCACACAATTTTGTGGGCCAATGTTTTCATGTCATCGGCTTAAAGTTTAACATTAGTGTGAAGGAGTTCAGCCGAACTCAAGATCATCCGTATGCCAGTGAAAATTCCGATTACGTTTTTGTTCCCGTGCCGTTTGTACTGGAAGCAGTGGACTCGTTTTTTAATGTGGTACCTGATCTCTTGGCCAAAGTTTCTGTGGCGCTGGAGAAGGATTCAAACTGGAAATCTCGATACGGAAAGGGGGACCGGTGCTTCAAACTGGCGCATCCAATGTCATCCTACATGCGATTGACCGTTAAGTGGAATCAAGTTGTGCATTTTGTATGCAAAGACATAAAAGAGAATAGATTTTACTGCGAACCCCTAACCAGAATATGTAAGTTATAATTTTACAAGAAATAATTTCCAACCATATAAAGATCTTTATATCACTGTGGACTGCAATTCACCGGTTGCAGTTACCGCATGCGTTAGCGTGCCGTTAAAGAAAATATATGCCCGAAAAATTTAAAATGTTCTATAATCTACTATAATATAATATAAAATTCTTTATCTATTTTTGTTTCTATGCATTTCATTCGATTAGTTTAAGCTTTAAAAGCTATTGAAGTTGATGGAGTAAGGTCTCGTATTTCTCAAGGCATTAACTTAGTCTTTCATATTTTAATGGATAGTTTCATATCTAATTCTAATTCTTTTAAGTTTTCATCTTATCGACCTTATCGACTAACGAATTAGAAATACTTTTTTTTCGAAAAAAAAATCGTTGGTTTTTTTTTTTTTTTTTTTTTAAAGAAAGTAAAGTATTCTATCTTTGACACCGTTCAGCCATTTAATGCAATGAAACATACGTATTTTTAAATCAAAGCATAAATTTAAAAACTAATGATAATGGATATTTCCTCAAGCTTTCAGTATTCTAAAAGGTTTGTCTAAACTTCTGCCAAGATACGCCGATTCATCTGCTGGACTCAAAGGGCTATGTCATGCTCTCTCCATAGATGTTCGCTTTGGAATCTTGTAAGTATCTTATATTTGGAAATATGTTTACTAATTTATTAAGTATTTTTAGATATCATGAAACCTGCCAAATTATTCTGACTCCTATGCTAAACATGTTTCGAGAGAACTTTAGAACTTTTTGTGGTGTAGAAAATTATGCTGTCGACTTTGTCTTTTTTGTTTTGACCATTCAGGCAATGTTATTACTTTTATTTATTGTTGGTGTACGGCCTTAAATGATCCTAATAATTACAGATGAAAGGCGATGATTGCTACATTAAAGGTTATGAGTTCCTAGACAAAATGATAAGGTTTTTTTCCAGCGAGAAACCGCGCGACGAATACCAAAACCTATATTTGCGTATATTTACCAACGAAATGATTACCGAAAAGTTTCTGGCGCTGCAATTTGAGGACCTCAAATCAAGTCGCTCTAGGCCGCTTCTAACTGCTATTTTACAATATTTATTGACGCTTCAAAAGTAAGACATTTTTCTCATATAACCCAAAATAGAAATGACCCTCTCTAGATAATATTTTTTGAAAATAAATTCATATAAAACATTTTATTTTCAGCCATGTGGTCAGTACGGAGTGCTTTCGGCACAGTTTTCTCGAGTTATTGCTTGCGCTTATCCTTAGAATGCCCCGTAGTTTTTCTGGTGTAAGTTCTTTAGCGGCAACTGTTTATATAAAGTTATCCAAGCGTCAGTACACCAATCAGGAAATAGTCCTTCATATATTGGAGACATTCATAAAGATGTCGCATGGCACCCGGGAAAATACTATCTACGATGCTTTTAGAGTTAGACTTACGCGCTATTTAAAAGAACTCATAATTTATTTTCCTGAGCTTCATAGCTTCGAGTTTTACGTCTTAATATTGACGGCTCCAAATTCGCGATTTGAATTGAGCCTAATAGGTGCTCAATCCTTAAGCATAATCTTTGAATTGCACATGGCGCAATATTCCATTTCAGAGGACTCACGTCAACAGGTGCACCGCCTATTGCGATGTTTACCAGCAATAATGGCATCGCCATCCCTGGAAAATGGCGCACGGAGTATTCTATACAGCATCTACAGTTGCATTGATTTCCGTTTAGTGGCAGAGCATAAAATGGAGGTGATTTTTATTATTATTGATAATAAATGAGATCCTATATTTTCGGTTTTATTTTTTAGGCGCTGCGTGATATCGAACGTTTCTGCCTAAAAAGTTTTCTAACCGACGACACTCTTAAGTGCTCAGTGTTCCAAGGACTTTTTGAAAACTTATTAGGATCTTCTGCTGTAACCGGAAATGATTTAATGTCCCCAACAGTAGCGTCTTTGTGCACGCAGCATGCACAGCTTTGTATACAGTTGAATGATACTGAATCAAGGTCCTCTGAAATAACTGAAATGCTAGAGGCATATGTAAAGTGTTTAAGGCGAATTCACAGTCTCTTATTATTAGACAAGCTGGCGCATGATTATTATAAAGATATTTATGAGTCGCTTGCACAACTACTGCTGAAAAAGACCTTTGGAAATGAAGATTTAAGTAAGATTAGTTATTCTTTTTTCTTTAAATAAATAACATTTGGTTGTTTATTTTTACGATTTTAGTTCTTTATGGCTGTGAGAGTTTGGCTCTGATGCTCGTCCGAAAATACAATAAAATTAATGACTTAGACGATGAATTGAATCTAAGTATAACAGTTTTAGCGCAGGAACTACAAGAATTCTGTCTAGCTGAGCTAAAAAAAGCTAAGGAAGACATAAGGCGGTCAATGTTTCTTTACTGTTCAATTATGGAAATAAATATTGGTGGGATAGCTTGTTTAACCATTGACGCTGATGCATGTGACATGATTATGGAGTTGCTCATCTCAATGCCGAAAAAGTTTTTACCTAAAAAAAGTCCATTCATCCTAGACTGTATGCCGGATATGTATCATATGTTTAGAGAGCTTTTAAAAACGGATCAAATTGAGTTGAAAAATAATCGCATATGGAAGATTGTAATCCAATATAAAATGGTGAGATTCTGTATCTTTCTAATTTTTTTAAATTTTCACATTTATCTATAATTTTTAGCTTGGAACCTCTTTAAAGTATTTGGACCCTGAACTTCAGGAACTAATAGGTGTTCTTATAGAATATAAGCTCGAAACCTACGCCCATTGTCTTTCCGTTATAATATTAAAAGTTAGTAACGATGAAAAAAATATAAAACTATCGTCGGATGCCTTATCGGCTCACTTAAATCTGATTGAGAAACACTCCACTATTTTGGACTCCTGGATACTTCGGTTAATTATCTTTCAGAATTCGCTGAGCTTGCTGATCAAAAGCATTCGCCTCCGACGATCGCAAGTTTCCGGCTCAAATCAACAAAATCGTCTTCTGCCTCTAAACCATTTTTTACTTATAATAAAAAGCTTGCGTCTTGAGGCACCACACTTTATGAGAATGTAAGACATTGGAATTTTTTACCCATATTTTTGTACCAAATTATTATCTTGAATAGAGCCAAGCTTATGAACACCATAAAGATGGAGGCATATGGATCCCTGGAAAATGTGGTGATAGATAATTTTATATTCCAGGTCAGCGCGCTCAAATATAAGTGCGAGGATGAAATCGTGGCATTAAATGGCGATGTGAGTCTTGAGGGTAAGCTCATAAGGTTGCCGGCTGGACCGTTAAATTATTGGCAGAAAAGTGCTTTGGAAATCATGGAAAAAACTAATCATATGTGAATCATGTATATGTACATCCTAATTATATAGGAAAGAAAAACATATATGGAAAATCATTAAACCCAAATTTTGATTAATTTTGCAGACACAGCTTGTTTGTTTATTTTGTTTTATGTTTTGTTAACATGTTTTATATTTTCTTTTAGCAGGGCATGGTTACATCGACTCGGCTCTTGAACAGCAGAATATATATATTTAGTACTTTACGCGAAAACAATACACCCTTTTACTCTGCGAGTAACGGGTATAAAAAGCTAGGAATAACCTTTATTTTAGAGGTTGGGTAGCATATGTATACTTATTTTGTCGAGAAATTCGACTACAGTCCTGTCTTTTTCCAACTCATTTGCTTTCCAAAACTTTATTAGAAAATTTATATTTTGAATTATTAAAATGTATAATAATCAATACTATTTGTTGTTTTTACTATTTCTAATACTATTTCCTTTCACTTTCCTAGTTTTATTTCCACAAAAAATGCGTGAATAAAAATTCTTACCAATTACAGATGTAACTTACATCTTCAGTAGTTTTTGAAAATGAATTCTCTAAATGAACCCTCCAAAACTTCCTTTTCCAACATCAAAGAAAGGGAACCCAGAAATAAAACACGTGTTAAATACTTTTTGTATATATATAGTAGATACACATATATTATTTTTTGTTGACATATTTGATATGCTGTCATTTTATTTATTAATGTTTAGTAGATTTCTGTTCTTAAAGTAGGCCTGCCATCCTTTTAGTTGCATAAACATTCTCATGCTTCGAATCGCGCCGACGCCTCTTCAAAATATGTGTGTTCCCGAAAGATCCCTACTGGCTTTATGGCTAAGGCCTACGCACCAATAATTTGTATATGTAGCTATATATGACAGATGACTGTCCTTGCGTGCACTTCCTTTTGATCATGCTTTCATTTTGTTCAAAAAAATAAATATTTATGCACGCAGCAACGTCCCACTCTCAGTAAGTTGCATGCATGCGACTTCATAAATATTTTTTTCATTTGTTTCAACTCTATGTACAAATACATATATGTAGTTTGTATAGTGTCTGAGGCCCCCAGACAGATCCGCGCTGTTTGTGTTTTCTTTTGTTTGTATTTGCATAAGAAGTTTATCTGTGGGCTGTTTGCGGTTTAGCTGTGGTTGTAAATTTTATTGCTTTCGTGGCTTTTTAATTGGTAATTAGTATATAATTATATCCGGCGCTCCTAGTAGGGAGACTCAAAAATTCACACACAAAATATGGATTTATTTGTTTGCACTATCCTAGAATTTGCACAGCTGAACACTGTTTGTCTCTCAATTTTCGCTTCGAATCCGGCCACAATATCAAGAATATTTCATTTATTTCCCCGCCCTACCGCTTTATATTTTCGAATCAAATTCAGATTCATTATATCGAGTATCCTATGTACAGATCTTAGGTCGAACATAAATAAAGTGTAAGATTACAATTGCGGTTACGATTAAGATGCGTGTGCCTAATGGCGAAAAAATTGGTTTGAAACTTGTGCGGAGGATTGTGGGGGCTGAGGGGGACTTAGAGTCACTCGTCCTCTTCCTCCAGCTTCCTGGGAACCTAATCTAGAAATTTGCAAAACAAAGCTTTGCCTTTTAGCCCGAAAGTGGCACTGGTAATCAGACGCTTGGCGTATTAACATAAGGGAAGCATTGGGATTAATGTCCGAAAAAGCGGGAGCTTACGTATATATATAATCTGGTTTCTGATTTTGGGATCGGGATCTTTCCTAATCAAATCATGTGGTATTGACGGTTGGGAATTTTTGGTGTTCAAAAATTCTGCTTAAACTCAAGTCGCAGTCTATGGGCGATTAATAGCCTTAACATCTAGGTTGGTAAATAATAATTGTAACACTTAGCGTTATTTACAACATGTCATGCATTGGTGAAGTGACTACCATGTCTTATTCGATTACTAAAATAAAGACTCGTACTTAAATAACTAGGTCCTTGGGGTATCGTGGATCTAAACGCCTTGGATGTCTTGAGCTCCGGCTAAACATCAATGACGCAGGGACAACTGGAACTCTTATAACCAATGATTACGCAAGTGCTTAAATACAGTACACATATGTATTAGAGATTATAGATTATTATGCATATACTAGGTATATAAATATTTTTACTACTGCCACAGTAAAACCATATTGCGTCTAGTCCGAATTCCGAATACCGAAAAGGTCTCAAAGCAGCTACCGTTCATACGTAAATATATATATCTATATATATATATATATATTTGTCTCTTAGTCTAGCTTAGGCTTACATTAGGTTGCTCTATTCCTAATTAATAGATACCATTTGCACGTGGCAATAACAACGTTTGAGTGTTTACCGCCTCCTGATCCATAAGTACTTTTCCCGCCTCACTCTCCTAGGTCCTCCACGGACTGAGCCCTGATCGGAGCATGGTTTTGAGTTTGGTTTTGGGGTTGAGTTTGACCCTGTGGTTGAGTTTGCGACTGGCACTGCAACTGCATTTGCGAGGACAACTGCTGGGCCGGCGAGGAAGGAGGTCCGAACTTGCTAGTGATCTTGTGTGAGACACTGACAATGGCCAACTCGTGCTTCGAGTCCATGTCGCAATCATAGAGCCCGCTCAGTGAGTCTAGGCTTAGCAGGCGGGAGCTGGCCCGGCTGGACACCGATGTGTCGTCCACGTCCGGAGCGTTGTACAGTGAGTTTACGTCCGATAGGGCGCCCTCCGCGTCGGTGAGTCCAGCCTCGTTCAGTAGCGATATGTTCTCTAGACCAGGTTCATCCGTAATGTATCCCGTGGACTCGGCGCCACCTGAAATAAAAAATAGTTGCTTTTATTGTTTTGCATTAACAGGACAGTTCAAAATTTAATCAATATTAATTTCAAACCAACATTTTTTTCTAATTTCATAGCCCAACAAAGCTGCTAGTAAAGGCTGCTAAATTGATGCGTGTATCACATCTTCGATTTTCCAATCGCATGATATATAAATCCAAAAAATTTTTAATTTAAAATATGTGTGAATCAAATTCGTCCGAAAATATAAACGTCAAAAATATGAAGGAGTGTTTTGAGTTATAGTATATAGTTGGTTCTTCTAGTATTTCGACACACTTTGGTAACTTTTTACAAACACCGAGAGAGAAAACTACGGGCCCCTCTAGGAGCGGAATGGGAAAAAGGTCCCACCTACAAGACCTTGAAAAAACTGTTTTTTCGCAAAAAAGAAGAAAATAAAATAGGGATACATCAATGAAACCCTCTCCTGTACCCTCCTTATAGCTTCTTACCTGTAGCCTCCTCACGGCAATCGTCGTCCGACCATTCCGACTGGCTCTCCAAGGGATTGGAGTCCATGGACTGGTGGTTCATGTGCGTCGCCCCGTACTTCAGCTCGTCGTTTATCACATTCGCCTCGAGACCGCGATGGGTGCCATTGGTTAACGGCGCCGCCTCGCGGGTACCCTCGTCTTGCTCTTCTTCCTCGTCTTCCTCCCCGTCGTCATTCAAATGTGCTACGACACCCGCCTCCGCCCGCTTATGGCTGAGGTCCAGTTTCTGGACACGCTTTTGGCGCACAGCGCGACCCACGTCGTCGTCCTCGAACTCCTCGTCGGCCAGGTTGTCTTCTGTATCGTCACGATCCTCCTGATCCTGCATGTGGTTGTAGCGCTGTTGTTGCTGCTGGTGTTGCAGCCTCGTCTGGTGATGATGGTAGCGTCGCTGCTGCTGCGGCGGCGGTGTATGACCCGCTCCGTCCAGACTGTCGTGGCAGTACTGAAGCTCCTTGGATCGTGGTCGCTGGCGGTGTGCCCTCTGCTGCTGCTGTGGATAAGGATGAGGATACGCATGCGGCTGAGTTGCTTCGTGAAGCGCCTTGGCGGCTTGCATTTCCAGCAGGGTCAAAACCTGGAAGTGATTGCGATTCTCGTGTAGGATCTCGCAAGATTCCGTATCCGAGGTTTGCCTGCAAAATCCATATTTGTATAATTTAGAAAATTAAAAAAAAATTAAATTCTAAAACCAAAAGTGACACATTGCCATCCACCAACCGATTATAAAAGCTTTGAACCTACACCACAAAATATTGGATGGAAAGTCCCGACAAGTATAATGATAGGAATGTTAATAGGATGCTAAGTATATCCTTCATCATGGTAAAGCAATGGCGTCTTACGAATGAATGCGAATACGAAACACATTATTTATATAAATATTCGAATTGAACTGAATAAAAAATTGAAAAATGTAATATTATTAGCCAGTATAAGAATTTGAATTGATTAGTTAACATATTTACAGTTTATATAAATAAAAAAATATATATCTGAAAAAAACTATTCATTTCAAAAAATTATTGCCAGTTTTTAAAATATTTATTTCGGTATTAAGTAAACGGTATTCATAGATTCATTTCTCAGAAACGCCAGAAACTTGGAACTTTCGGAATTGGCTTCGTTTTATTGGCCTTTCAATTTCTTAGTATGTTTACAGGTCCCCGGCTTTAGTATCTAATTCAGACTGTTATTTTTAATTATACCGTTAATTATCTATCGTAATTTTTTCGTATCGGAATGAGCAAAAAACCTAGCTTAGCTATATAAAAATCTACTGCTGTTTTACTATGTATGACCCAAATTTCGTATTCCAGATCATACAAAATTCTCAACCTTTTCTAACCATCTTTAAATTTTTACAATATACCCAATTAAAACAAAAACAAGAAAGGAAAGCTAACTTCGGGCGGAGGCGAAGTTGATATACCCTTGCAGCTAAAACCGGGTATATATCGCAGACATCGGATATAGTTGGCCGATCCTTATGATTACGTCATAAAAAAACCAATTAATTACAATAAAAAATCTAAACAAGAAAGGAAAGCTAACTTCGGGCGGAGCCGAAGTTTATATACCCTTGCAGTTAAAACCGGATATATATCGCAAACATCGGATATAGTTGGCCGATCCTTATGATTACATCATATTAAAACTAAAATAAAAAATCTAAAAAAAGTCCCAAACTTCTATCTTCAAATATACGAAAGTTGATATTTCTACCAAGTACCATTTCCGATCGTTCAGTTATATGGCAGCTATAGGATATAGTCGGCCGATCCTAATGAAATTTGGTAGGTTGGATCAACTGGCCAAAACTAGAATCTTTACTAAGTTTCAACTTTCTATCTTCAAAAACACGAAAGTTGGGTCATTTCCGATCGTTCAGTTATATGGAAGCTATAGGATATAGTCGGCCGATCCTTATGAAATTTGGCATGTCTTAATGTGTTGCCAAATATAGCACCCGTGTCAAATTTGAACTCTCTAACTCTAAAAACACCAAAGTTATACCATTTCCGATCAATCAATTATATGGCAGCTATAGGATATAGTCGGCCGATCCCGGTCGTTTCGACTTATATACAACGTGCAAAGAAAAGAAGGGTGTGTGCAAAGTTTCAAGTCGATAGCTTTATAACTGAGAGACTAGATCGCGTAGAAACAGACAGACAGACGGCCAGACAGACAGACGGACATGCTCATATCAACTCAGGAGGTGATCCTGATCAAGAATATATATACTTTATAGGGTCTCCCTCACTGCGTTGCACACTTTTGGACAAAATTATAATACCCTCTGCAAGGGTATAACAAGAAAGGAAAGCTAACTTCGGGCGGAGCTTAAGTTGATACACCCTTGCAGTTAAAACCAGATATATATCGCAAACATCGGATATAGTTGGCCGATCCTTATGAGAATATGATAATATAACCCAATTTATTATAATACAATATCTATAAAAAGTCCCAAACTTCTATCTTCAAAAATACAAAAAATAAAAATACCAAAAACCATTTCCGATCGTTCAACTGAACGCTATGGCAGCTATAGGATTTAGTCGGCCGATGGTTATAAAAATTGGTAGGTCGGATTAACTGACCAAAAATATAATCTTTACCAAGTTCCAGCTTTCTATCTTCAAAAACACGAAAGTTGGGTCATTTCTGATCGTTCAGTTATATGGCAGCTATAGCATATAGTCGGCCGATCCTTAAGAAAATTGGCATGTCGTATTATTTTTCCAAGCTTCTATCTTCAAAAATACCAAAGTTGGTATTTCTAACAAATACCATTTCCGATCGTTCTGTTATATGGTAGGTAATGATAATCTGACCAAAAATAGAATTCGTACAAAGTTTAAGCTTTCTATCTTAAAAAACACGAAAGTTGGGTTATTTCCGATCGTTCAGTTATATGTCAGCTATACGATATATCCTCCGATCCCTATGAAATTTTGGCATGTCATATTATTTGGCCAAAAATAGCTCTCACGTCAAATTCGAACTCTCTAACTCTAAAAACACCGAAGTTATACCATTTCCGATTAATCAGTTATATGGCAGCTATAGGATATAGTCGGACGATCCCGGCCGTTCCGACTTATATACTGCGTGCAAAGGAAAGAAGGGTGTGTGCAAAGTTTCAAGTCGATAGCTTTAAAACTGAGAGACTAGTTTGCGTGGAAACATACAGACGGCCAGACAGACGGACATGCTTATATCAACTCAGGAGGTGATCCTGAACAAGAATATATATACTTTATAGGGTCGGAGACCCTATGTCTATGTCTATATATGTCTCCTTCACTGCGTTGCAGTTAACCAAAATTATAATAACCTCTGCAACGGTATAAAAAATCGTATTTTCTGTGACGTACTGCACGTACTGTGACGTAATTGTACTGCATTTTGGTCACCACTGGATTCAGACTACTCACATTTGGCTCGAATCCGAAGGGTTCTTGTTGCGCGTTATCTCCCTAATGGCCTCCAGGCCCACGGGATGCTTGGAAATGACGAAGCTGTTGCTTGCAGGCAGCTCCGCCACCGGATGCTGCTGATTCGGTTGCTCTGATGGGAGATCTCGGTTGCTGCTCTGGTTGTTGTTGCCGCTGTTGGAGTTAGTGCCACTGCCACCGCTTAGGTTGCCGTTGCTGCTTCCGCTGCTGTTTCCCACCACCGATCCGGATCCTGCGACAACATGGCCATTGGTGGAGCTGAGCTTGGAGTTGCTCAGCGAATAAGTCAACTCCCGGCTGCCGTTGCTAGTTGTGTGATCGATGGTGCCAGTGGTTCCAGTGGCCGTGGTGGTAGCTGTGGCCGCCAGGCACTTGGCTCGCGAGGATTCGTTGAGTATTCGCTGGAGTTCCCTTTCGAAGGGCGACTTGGTGGCAGTGGGCAGCCCGTTAGAGACCACTCCGCTGGTACCTCCAACGGCTCCTGAAAGCTCCTTCTGGTAGTCGAAGCTACTGCAGGTTTCGCCCTTGGCCTGTGTGTTGCTGGTTGTGTGGCTGGAGGTGTGCTGGCCCTGACTCTCGGTGGTGGAGCTCTGGTCGAAGTCATGCAGCTGGGTCATGTCTACCACCGGCGAGGTAGGGTCCACTTGGATGTCGCAAGGGTACAGCCACTGCAGTGGGTTTACCAGCCCTCCGGTAGCGCCTCCGTGCCGGTGATGTGCTGACAAGTGCGGCAGGTGGTGGCGCGGCGAATCCTCTTCGCCTTCGCCCTCACCCTCGGTGGTCTTGGAGTAGCTCTCGTCCGAGCTGCTCATCGACGGGGAATGCGGCCGCGAGCTGAGATCATCCGTGGAGGACATCTCCCGGTTCTCCTCCAGCTCCGGCGGCAGCTTCGGCAGGGGTTTCATGTACGTCTGGATGCCTGGTACCGGATTCGTCGGAACGGTCTGCGGCGGCAGCTGCGGCAACGGCGGCTGCTGCGAATACAGTGCGTACTGGCGCTGCTCCTGGCTAAGGTTTGGCTGCTGCTGGTGCGACAACATGGAGTTGGGAGAAGTATAACGTGGTGGCTCATACTTTTGCGCATGCTGCATGGGCATGATCTAGGGGCGTGGTTAGTCGGAGTCGGTGTCGGTGATGGAGTCGGATGAGCAAGAGATAGATGTGCGGGCATGCAAAGAGCGGACACAAAGAGTTAGACACATTGGTACACACACATATTCAAATATTTTTTTTTGGATTAATAGAAGTGAAGGGAAAGCAGCGAGTCCAGGGAGTCACCGGAAAACAGGCCATTTTGTTTGTGGAAAGTACATTTAGTAAGAAAATAGGTTTTTTCCTAAACTATTTCAAGTATATTCTAAAAATAAATTGCATGTTTCCATATTTCAGAGCCAATTATTTAAACATTATAGATTTTGCTAATTTTAAAAATCAATCTCGTAAGATTCTACTTCTGATTTTTAGTTTTTCTAACAAATTTCATGCCTATATTATTATCTGTACCAGTGAATTAATTTATTTTTTTTACGATTTTGGTATTTGACAATAACAATAAAAATGAACGATATAATAAAACATTTTTAAAGTAAAAGCCATAAATATCGTTTCAAAATTAAATGCTAAATCTGTCTTACATGATAAAATAACGTTTTGTATTTGTTTTGTGTCTCTAAAGTGAAACTAACGTAAAAGCAATGAGAGTATATGTAAATACTAAGTACCGGTTATCTATAGCTAAAATTCAGATCCTATATTTAGCTTACTTTGGACCTTTTTATAAAATTGTGTTTTTATAAATTCATATCGTATCATAGTTTTTCTTACATTTATATTTTATTATATGATTCTAGTATATATGATTTTCGATTATTTTACTAACAAGCTATGTATGTATATGCCTATTCTTTAACCTATAATTCTATATGAATTTGTGCAATCAAAGTCGTTTAAAATAGTAGGATATAGTATATAGTGGAATCAAATATGTAGGAATAAAATTGGAGATCAGTATAAAAATAATTGAAAAACGATAATCAACGAATTCTATTACAATTGCCAAGCAATAATATAAACGTGTCTATAGCTTTCCTATTCACTCGTGTGTTTTACGATTTTTTTTCTATAATCTCTATATTTTATATATTTTAGCAAGTCATGTTTATAGATAAGAAGTACCTAGCTAGTGCTTCACAAACATAAATGTCTATTTCGGATCATAGATGTTAGTTAATAAATGGGATGGGGTTCTGGTGTAGGTTAGTTGCTTGCAGCCACTTGAAGGAAGGAAAGGCGTGCTGGTCAGAAGGGGCTGTTCAGAGGAGGATCTCTTTGCTCCAAAGCAGGTGTTCGGCCTCTTCACTCACCTTGGCTACCGGCGCGACGCTACTGGCATGCAAAAGCGGTTCGCTTTCCCGGCAATGGCCATAGCCCGGATTGGTAGATGATGCCGGTTGCAGATTGTGGCTCTGGATCTGGTTCTGATGTGGGTTCAGAGTCGGATTCAAATGGAGGTGATGCAGTGGATGATGACCATGCTGGTTATAAGGCGACGCATAGGTACGATCTCGATCGCGTCGCGGCATGATGAAGCAGTCACCGCCTTGCACCCCGGCACTGCCGACATCCATGCCCATTCCCATTCCCAATCCTATATTCATACCCGTGTTCATGCCCATTCCCATTCCCATACCCATATTGAGGCTGCCGTGGTGCTGCGGCAGCTGCTCCATCTGGGGATGCCGGCCGCCTAAAGTTGGGTTCTCAGTGATATTAAACTCGCGCAACATTACCGAAGGAACGTGCTGGTTCTGGTGCTGGAGAAGGATCTGGTGCTGCACTGGGTGTGGATGAGGAGGACACGGATGCTGGAGAGGGGCGGCCACCGCAGCCGTTGAGGTCATCGTGATAGCCATGAAGCCACCTCCGTTTGCGGTGCCGTTTGTCATAAGATGCTGTTCGCCATTGTGTCCGTTCTCCCGGATGTTGGGCAGTCCGCCGTTGCCAATAAAGATCGGATTCTTCTGCAGTTTGCTGTTAAGGCGCTGTTGCTGCTGGTGGTGCAGGTGGTGGTGCACTGGCGGTGGTGGCGGGGAGGCGGGAAGCGGCAGGGCGTCGGACTTCTTCTGTTGGTGCTGCAGCAGGAGCTGTTGCTCCTCGCCACCTCCAGTGATACCGGCGCCCCCGCCACCACCGCGGACTCCGTACAGGTGGCCATTCTCCTTCTTGCTGTAGGTCTCTGTGTTGACACGGTTATCCGGGAACTGTGAGGCCTTCATGTAGTAGTCGGGGCCATGGAGACCCTGCGGCAGGGACATGGCGTTCCGCACTTCGCCGTTTAGCGACTTATTGCCGCTGTCGCACAGAAAGTAGGTGACCATGTCGCCTTTGCCCTTCACCTTGATAGTCCCTCGACATCTGAAACGAAATGGTTTTTTATTTAAGGACAGGTTAATTTGGGTTCATGTTGTCAGCTCACCGAAACTCAAAGTGGGAGCCCACCAGACTGTCGACCACCTCCTGAGTAACTTGAGAGTACCCTGGGACTCCAGTTGAGTCCATTCTGCTAGCCACATTTACCGTGTTGCCCCATATGTCATACTGCGGCTTCCGGGCTCCGATCACACCGGCCACCACTGGTCCAATGTTGATTCCTGCAAATGGTTATAAATTGGTAAAATTTATTAAACGAAGAGAACTTAAACTGTTTCATGACAATTATTATTTACTTATGTTAAAGCTACAAAACGCATGTCGAGAAGTTAAAGATATTGTACAATTCCACTTTTGTAGCCGTTGCACTATGGGCAAAAAGTCCCAAATAGCGGAATTTTTACATTTTTCTTTTTTCCGTATTATTAAATTGACTTTATTTTCTGAATTAGAATACTTCAAGAATACTGAAACATATTTTTAAAAAATGTTAGACTTCGTTGGTATTTTGTTATTTTTCCATATTTAAAGACTATGATCTGGTCATTTAAAAAAAAGATTTTGGCGAGAAAGTTTATGATTTTTTCTGTGAGTTTTATCTTCAAATTGTAAATTAAACAAAAAACCTTAAATATGGAATTTAATCGTCAAGGTATGTAGTACATGTACATGTGTTATGTTGTCCAATCGTACAATGTGTTGTTGGTATGTTTTTAGGCCGCTGCCTACAAATGTATCTGTGTTTCTGTGGAGTGTAACTTGTGAGTCTAAGCCAGTCGAGGCAATTTTGAAGCTGATTGTTACTAACCAAACTATTAACAATCAAATACTGGTTAACATTGCCCGATTTTCAGCAATAGCAGTTGCAGTTACATTTTTACATTCAACGTTGCTTGATGTTTGAAGCGACAACAACCGCCAACAAGCTGCTGTGCAGCAGTTTGTTTTGCAAAATATTGATGAGGCTGAATTAAGTGATGTCCAGCAAACCATAATAAAAGATAAACTCAGCCTTTTCTTTGGATTCATTAACACTAATTTGCCAAAATGCAACAGAATGCTCGCTCGCATCATCTTTAAAAATTAAGTTTCTTAAAGATGATATTCCACGCGAAAAGCCTGTTCGCAAACGATTGACATACGAGGGCTGACTGATAAATAACCGACCTAACCATGATGAACGCGACTTTTTCAAAAATTTTTTTTTTTTTCTGCTTAGTCTCCGTGTAACTCCACACACTTCTCCCAGCGACGCTCCCATCTCTGCAACCCTTCCAAATAGTTTTTGACGTCTTTGTCTGCAAAATACGAGTTCACGAAAGAGATTGCCTCCTCATTTGACGAAAATCTCTGGCCGCCGAGTGCAGTTTAAAGTTGAGGTAACAAAAAAAAGTCGCTTGGTGCTAGTACTTGTGAGTCAACCTCCGGTGAATAAGGTGGATGGTCAAGCAGTTCGAACCGCAATTTGTGGAATTTCGCCATGGCGACTTTTGAGGCGTGAGATGGTGCGTTGTCTTGGTGGAACAAGACTTTCTTTTTTTGCAAATATGCCCGATTTTTCGAAATTTCTTCCTTTGGACCAATAATGATGGTATTTGCCAAAAATTATTTTAAACAAGAAAGGAAAGCTAACTTCGGGCGGAGCCGAAGTTTATATATCCTTGCAGTTAAAACCGGATATATATCGCAAAAATCGGATTTAGTTGGCCGATCCTTATGGGAATAGGAATATATAATCCAATTTATTACAATACAAAATCTAAAAAAAGTCCCAAACTTCTATCTTCAAAAATACGAAAGTTGATATTTCTACCAAATACCATTTCCGATCGTTCAGTTATATGGCAGCTTAATCTGTATTAAATTCCTTTCTATCTTCAAAAACACGAAAGTTGGGTCATTTCCGATCGTTCAGTCATATGGCAGCTATAGGATATAGTCGGCCGATCCTTATAAAATTTGACATGACGTATTATTTTGCCAAAAATAGCTCTCACCTAAAATTTGAACTCTCTAACTTTTAAAACACCAAAGTTATACCATTTCCGATCAATCAGTTATATGGCAGCTATAGGATATAGTCGGCCGATCCGGGCCGTTCCGACTTATATACTGCGTGCAAAGGAAAGAAGGGTGTGTGAAAAGTTTCAAGACGATAGCTTTAAAACTGAGAGACTAGTTCGCGTAGAAACAGACAGACGGACAGACAGACGGACAGACAGACGGACATGCTCATATCAACTCAGGAGGTGATCCTGATCAAGAATATATATACTTTATAGGGTCGGAGATGTCTCCTTCACTGCGTTGCACACTTTTGACCTAAATTATAATACACTCTGCAAGGGTATAAAAATTGAAAACTATAAAATTGAGTTTTTTAAAGATGCCTGGCGCTTGACATATGTTACACTGAGGCAGGACTCAGATTAAAGCGAAAATTGGCATCTGATCTGGTCGATCAAACTCAGTGGCGGATTTAACAGGTGGGCAAAGGCGCGCTTGCCCACTAGGCCCCCCCGACGAAAGGCTTTCAGGGCCCCTCTTGCTGAAAGTTACACCTTCGATTTCTTTTTTTTATTTTTTTGTTGGAAAAATGTTTGGGGTGGGATAATTTTTTCCCATATTATGGCGTCGATATTAAACGTTTTGTAAGGTTTTCCGATAGGGAAAGCACCTCGACGGCAAGAACCAATCAAAAATATTTCAAAAATGTGCAAAAAAAATGGGGGTATGGGGTGACAGGGGGGCCCTGAACAAATTTTGCCCACTGGGCCCACTGGACTTAAATCCGCCACTGATCAAACTGAAGATTCTACGCCACTGTTGTTGCATGCAACTTCTACTACATTGGGCAAAAAATTGAAAACGGGGGACTCTTCTCTACTGCAAAAAGCATTGAACAAAGAAAATTGAAAGTCATTGAAAGGCCATTGAAAGTCCTGAAAATTCTTTAGCCTTTTAAATTCCTCTGACCCACTGGTTTCAACTATAAATCTATATAGTTGAGTGTCAAAGATTAAATTATATAAAAGGCTACCAAAAGATGTTATAGATCTTTTGGAATCTTCTGATATTGAGCTTCCAACAACAGGGGCATGTGTAGACAAAATTAATCACGTAGAAGAAGTCGGAGATAAGGAATTCGAAATACCCGGGCTGGATTCGCTAGAGTTGGCGGAAGCGCTTTGGGAAGAATAAATTATTAACTTGGCACCAAGGTATGGAGTTACAAAACTTAATATTGGGCTATAAGTAATTTTAAATTTAATTTTTCAGGTATCTAAAATAATTTTATAATGCAAATTGCTAAAAAATTCATTAATTAAATACATTAAGTGCACATTTATGAAATATATATTACGTTAATATATTTAAAAAAATCGAAAATTCCAACTTTATGATAATGTGGGCGGGATGAAAGGCGTGGCCATCTTAATTTAGGTATATGTACCAAGTTCAGTGTTTCTATCTTGAACAAGAAAGGAAAGCTAACTTCGGGCGGAGCCGAAGTTTATATACCCTTGCAGTTAAAACCGGATATATATCGCAAACATCGGATATAGTTGGCCGATCCTAATGGGAATAGGAATATATAATCCAATTTTTTACAATACAAAATCTAAAAAAAGTCCCAAACTTCTATCTTCAAAAATACGAAAGTTGATATTTCTTCCAAGTACCATTTCCGATCGTTCAGTTATATGGCAGCTATAGGATATAGTCGGCCGATCCTAATGAAATTTGGTAGGTCGGATAAACTGACCAAATATATAATCTGTACCAAGTTGCAGCTTTCTATCTTCAAAAACACGAAAGTTGGGTCATTTCCGATCGTCTAGTTATATGACAGCTATAGGATATAGTCGGCCGATCCTTATGAAATTTGACATGTCGTAATGTTTTGCCAAAAATAGCACTCATGTCAAATTTGAACTCTCTAACTCTTAAAACACCAAAGTTATACCATTTCCGATCAATCAGTTATATGGCAGCTATAGGATATAGTCGGCCGATCCCGGTCATTCCGACTTATATACTGCGTGCAAAGGAAAGAAGGGTGTGTGCAAAGTTTCAAGACGATAGCTTTAAAACTGAGAGACTAGTTCGCGTAGAAACAGACAGACAGACGGACAGACGGACAGACGGACATGCTCATATCAACTCAGGAGGTGATCCTGATCAAGAATATATATACTTTATAGGGTCGGAGATGTCTCCTTCACTGCGTTGCACACTTTTGACCAAAATTATAATACCCTCTGCAAGGGTATAAAAATGGTAACAATGCCGCAATTTGGTACTTTTTGCCCATAGTGCGTTGTAGAAATGTTTTCTAAACAAGAAAGGAAAGCTAACTTCGGGCGAAAGCGAAGTTGATATGCCCTTGCAGTTAAAACCGGATATAGATCGCAAACATCGGATATAGTTCGCCGATCGTTACATCATAATAAAACCAATTAATTAAAATAAAAAATCTAAAAAAAAAGTCCCAAGCTTCTATCTTCAAAAATACGAAAGTTAATATTTCTACCAAATACCATTTCCGATCGTTCAGTTCTATAGCAGCTATAGGATATAGTCGGCCGATCCTAATGAAATTTGGTAGATTGGATCAACTGACCAAAAATAGAATCTGTACTTAGTTTCATCTTTATCTTCTATCTTCAAAAACACGAAAGTTGGGTCATTTTCGATCGTTCAGCCATATGGCAGCTATACGATATAGTCGACCGATCCTTATGAAATTTTGGCATGTCGTATTATTTTGCCAAAAAGAGCTCTCACGTCAAATTGGAACTCCCTAACGTCAAAAACACCAAAGGTATACCATTTCCGATCAATCAGTTATATGGCAGCTATAGGATATAGTCGGCCGATCCCGACTTATATACTGCATGCAAAGGACAGAAGGGTGTGTGCAAAGTTTCAAGTCGATACCTTTAAAACTGAGAGACTAGTTTGCGTAGAAACAGACAGACGGACATGCTCATATCAACTCAGGAGGTGATCCAGATCAAGAATATATATACATACTTTATAGGGTCGGAGATGTCTCCTTCACTGCGTTGCACACTTTTATTGCGTTGCACACTGCGTGATAAAATTACAATACCCTCTGCAAGGGTATACAAAGTGTTTTGCTGTTATGTCGTTTTTGCTGATTTAGAATATCCAAAACCATAAAATGGTATTAATTCTTTTTAAGAATACATGATGCAGATAATAACCTATTGTCCATTAAGTAATATAGTTTTAAAAATAAATTCATTACCAGGGGATCATTATCCAAGTAGATTTTGTAAAAATTTCAGACAAATACGTTTTTCTATTTTCGAGAAATCAATATCACCGATTTAATAAAAATCAAAAAGGCGTTCAAAGTTATCTGGCTCCCTTTGCAACACTCTGACATCTGAGTACAAATTAATGATTAATTAATTAAGGATTGATTAAGGACATGGTTAAATTGATTAAGGACATGGTCAAATAGATTTATATTAGTACAACCTCTTAGTTGGAAGCAACTATGAATTTGTTAACTTATAATAACAAAGTATTCTAAGTTTCTTGCCTAAGTTTTCTTGCAGAGTTGATTCTCATAGATTTCAGTCTTCCAATCGTAGTCTCATACCCCAAATTTATGTTTTAAAAAAAAGGAATATTCTCGTAAAAATTTATAGCATTGAGAATTCAATGATTAACATATGTACTTTAGAAATAAAGTTAATAAAAAGCAAAGTTTTTTTGTACTTTTCATTTCTCATTTGGACTTTCAAATTTAAGAGATTTAATTTACAATTACAAGGATCTGAAGTTTCAAAACCTCTTAAAGATCATATTGTTACATAATAACTTGATCCATTTCTCCTGAAACTTACCAACACGAAGCATAAAGTTGTTGTAGGAATGACTGTTGATTTCCTGAAGGGAAAGTCGCATTGCCTTTACGTATTCGATCAAGGCGGTCATGTGGCGTCGCACTGAGTTGGGATCATTGGGCTGGATCTTGTACTCCGGAATAAGGCCGACGACGGCCATGTAGGTGCTGCCCACGGTCTTGATTTTGTCAATTCCCCGGAAACGGTCCTCCTTGAGCAGTTCGTCAAAGTCGGCGATGATCTCGTTGAGCAATCGGAGACACTCAAGGCCCTGATCCGAGCCATCCATCTCCGTGTAGAACTCGTTGAAGTTGGGAACGCTGGCAAAGATGACGCCCACTTTGGCATAACTTTGATGGTAAAGTTCCTGGTTGGGGAAAGAGTTTAAATCAGTGGAAAATTTTTTGGAGTCATCCTATTCCTTCTTTGGCTAATGTTTTCCTCTATGATTTCCTTCCGTCCTCCTGACTCTTCCGTTTTGGGTCAGTGGGAAGGGAAAAGGTTTGAGTGGAAAGTCTTACCATGTTGTTGCGGAATTGCGCATCGAGAAAATGTGCAGCCACATGAGCGGGCAGCAAATTATGCAGTATCCGCTTGTTTGACTCTTGCAGCACATCCATCTCCTTCTTTTCCTGGGAAGCCTGCAGCTGCCAGAGGAAGTCCAGCCGAGCGGTGCCCTCCACTAACCGTCCATGCACCAGTATGGCAATCATGAAGATGGCGATGCGGGCCAGTGAGATCAAGTGAAGCGGAATTGAAGCACTGTGGAGAGCGGGTCAGTGGGTTAGCAGACACAAAAAATGTCGAAGGGCCAAAAATATGCTAAACATTAGCGGTGACCTACTTGACCCGGTTGTCGTAGCACTTAAAGATATTCTGATGCGACATCTCGATAAACAGTCCGTAGATGGTGCCCATACCTAACACCAGCAGTGACTTGAATATGATGGGTAGTCTGTGTAGGGGATTATGCTATTAGTTTCTTCCCTGTATTATTTATGACATGGCACTCACCTTAGAAATACAGACACAGATAGGAAGGCGAAGGCCGCAGACAAGGACACGTATTGGGGCAGGGAGCACTTTCGGTGCGAGTCATTAGAGTACGAAAAGAATTGGGGCTCCTGCGGCATCTGACGACTGGTCCAAGCTGGAATAGTGCCATTCTCAGAACAGGGGTGGTCGGAAACGCAAGTGAACTGAATGGAAGGGAAACAATTTAAATATTAAGATGATTGATTATTACGAATTTAATAAAATCTATTTTAAAATATTTTTTTTTTTTAATAAATGGCAATTTATATTCAATTTCATTTATACTCTTTATTATATCGGTAAACTTTACAAAAAAAGTTTTTTAGCCTATGCAAGGGGCTAATAAGGTTGTAAAGCTAGCCTTTTTTTTTATAATTTCTTTTTTTGTATTTGTTTTGTTTTTTTGTATTTTTGATTTGATTTAATTTTTTTTTTTTTAACCTCGTGTCACTGATACAAAACTTTTATTAATCGAATTTTCTAATTTAAATATTCAAACTCCGACTGTTTGGTCATTGAGAGTTTTCAATGCCGGGAAATGAAAAGCAGAATTTAATTATTTTACGTTATATTTTATTTATACTGCAGGCAGATGAAACTGGGATCAACCATTGTGATCCAACCATCCATGATCCATGATCAACCATCATCCAGCTTATGGTGCTAAGCAGTGACTATTAATATGGATAGAGAGTGCGGCACGACTAGACATACGAGAAGCTAAAGCTCTCGATAGCGGAGAGGGCGGCCCGACATAGTGATTGAGCAGCTAAAGCTCTTAAAATAGGTTCGTTGAAGTCGAGCGGCCGAGAAAGAGTCGACCAACTAAGGTGATATATCCATACTTTAGCTTAATAAATAAACTATATCTCATTTAGCGGCTGCTGTCTGACCCGACACCGACTATTATAGTAAAATCCATTGTTGGACAAAATAGACATTTCCCCATTTAATCACTGAACAGACAATTTTAATAGAATTCATCGATAATCTGAACAAAAGTTAGTTAAGCAGTTAGTTGAAATAGTTGAAACTAACTAGAGTTAGAAGCATCCTTTCACTTACCACATTCACCTGGCCTACGGAGTATATCAGAATAATGGTAAAGATGGTGATAGCCATGCGCAGGGTGAAGCATTCCGAGATGTCCCAGATGATCCACTTGAGCCGCACGGCCAGAAGGAGCATCAGGATGGCGCTCACCCAGATGAAGGCGGTGAGAAACAGGAGAAGGAGGATGAGGGTCCGCGGCAGAGCGGTGACCTGAAGAGCAGCCCCCAGAATGAGCAACAGTAGGGAGCAGCCCATGGCAGTGGTGAAGCCTAGATCGAAGTCCTTGTGGTACTCTCGCTCCATGTCACTCTGCCGGAACCGCAGCGTCACCCTGTCTACGTGCTCCGACTTGTCGCAGTCCACGGATCGGGCATTGATCGCCTGGGAGAGGAAGCGGTTGACCCGGTTGGTGGGCTGGTGATGGGCGGCCACGGAGTGTCGTTTCCGGAAGGGCCGCTTGAACTTGTCTGCCACCTTTGACTGCGACTGCAGATACGGATGTGCAGGTAACGGATCCAGATGCGGCGATGCAAAGGCGGAATTTGAATCGAAAGCCATGCGAAAGGGAGCAGAAAGACAGTAGAATGTTAGAGGAGCTTTCTATTCCGGCGGCTTTCTTCGCTAGCTGGCGCGTAAACTGTTTGCTTGAGCTAAAGGCTTATACTCTAAAGTTTGAGGTTGAAGAAATATGTAGTTTAACGGATGTTCCATGGGCGTTATGGGGACTCGAGCTACATTCTGGAGGCCATGAATTTGCGCAGCATGCTGTGTGAGGGAGCTGATCAAGCAAATTTTCAAAAAAATTCTAAATACGCCTGAAACATGCATATCGGTTATTTAATGACGGATGGAATAGTATTGGAATCAATGGGTGTATATTCTTGCAGTTGCGTTTCATATGAATTTCACGAATAAACGGTCTTAAGCGACCAAAATTTAATGAACCATCATTTTTTTTAATTTTTAAGCTCTTTTTGCATTGCCTTTATTATATTCTATAAAGTATAATATATTTATATATATATTTCATAATTATCTATTTTATATTCTGAATATAAATGTATTACTTCAAAGTATCATTAAAAGATGTCAACTACGTCAAGAAAGGCCTGGAGAATAAATTTTTGAATTTTGAAGTCTATGTAATTATGTACATATGACATGGGTCCTGTTCTGTTGGAATACAACTAATATATTTTTTTAGTTTAAACTTAAAAAACATGTTCATTAAATGGTTTAAAATAAAAAGCTAAAATCTACTACAATACAAGATATTGTCATAACCTTTACATAACCGTACTTCAAAAAAATTTCAAGGAATTTCAAATATTTCAAGGAATTAACCTTATGAAAAACTAGCCAAATATCGGTGATTAATCCTAATAATTTTAATTGTTTAATTTTAAACTTCAATTAAAACAAGAAAGGAAAGCTATCTTCGGGCGGAGCTAAAGTTGATATACCCTAGAGCTGCAAAAAAATCGATAGTACCATCGATAATATCGATGGTTGGCCGCCGGTCACCGACTTCGATATTTTTCAGACTATCACGATAGTTTTACAAAAAATTCCCATCACTTGGACTTCGAACGAATAAGAAGGTACGCATGTTTTGCACACAAAAAAATTTAATATATACTAATTTTCTCTAGTTTCTAGTCTCTAACAATCTGTGACCGACGGGCGTCCCTGAAGCCAAAAATCTTCCACAAACTGTTATTTGTCAACAAAAATTGGTTTTTAACCAAAGAAATGTGATTTAATTTCTCCTTCCAAATATGAATTAAAAAGATCTCATTTGAATTTAAACTAAATTCGTTTTTAATTAAAACAGGGGTATTCATGTGAAACCAATATAATAGGGGTATTCCCTAAAAAAAAATTATTTTAAGTATGTTGGTTTTACATGAATACCCCTAATGTTAATATATGAGCGATAGTATTGAGGTTTAGTCCGCACTATCGATGGGAGTACCAGGGATGTTTTTGCAGCTCTAATATACCCTTGCAGTTATGAAATATACATAATATATATCGCAAACATTGGATATACATAGTTGGCCAACCCTTATGAGAATATCATAATAAAACCAATTAATTACAATAAAATATCTAAAAAAACAAGAAAGGAAACCTAACTTCGGGCGGAGCCGAAGTTGATATACCCTTGCAGTTAAAACCGGATATATATCGCAAATATCGGATATAGTTGTTCCAAAAAGAAGTCGCAAACTTCTATCTTCAAAAATACCAAAGTTCTACCAAATACCATTTCCGATCGTTCAGTTATATGGCAGCTATGAGATATAGTCGGCCGATCCTAATGAAATTTGATAGGTTGAATCAACTGACCAAAAATAGAATCTGTATTAAATTCCAGCTTTCTATCTTCGAAAACACGAAAGTTGGGTCATTTCCGATCGTTCAGTTGTATGACAGCTATAGGATATAGGACAGGATATAGTCGGCCGATCCTAATGAAATTTGGCATGACGTAATGTTTTGCCAAAAATAGCTCTCATGTCAAATTTGAACTCTCTAACTCTAAAAACACCAAAGTTATACCATTTCCGATCAATCAGTTATATGGCAGCTATTGGATATAGTCGGCCGATCCCGGTCGTTCCGACTTATATACCTTATAGATCCTTATTTTAAGGACTTTTAAAAAACAAAAAAAGTCCAAGTCACAAAGTTTTTGTCACAAAAAGTGGTCGTTGGCCTAATGGCGAAGTTGATATAGCCTTGCAGTTAAATCCGTATACATATCGCAAAAATACAATCTCAAATATCAGATATAGCAAGGCGATTCTAATGAGAATTTTATTACAAAGCCAATTATTGGAATACCAGATGTAGAAAAATCCCAAGCTTCTATCTTCATAAAATATCTAATAAAAATACTTCCAAAATGATAGTTGGATCATTTCCGATCGCTCAGTTGGGAGCTATAGGATATAGCCTTTTGAAATTTGGTAGGTGGTATTATTTTGCCAAAAATACTTAGATTCTAGAGAAAGTCTTTCACTCTAAAAACATTTAAGTTCTTAAGTGTTAAGATTTTAAAGCTTAAGTTCCCAATTATTCCGACTTATATACTGCGTGCAAAGGAAAGAATGGTGTGTGAAAAGTTCGATAGCTTTAAAGCTTAGACTCTAAGCCTTAAACACTAGTTCGAGACTAGAGCTAGTAGACAATTTTCTGTTTCCCGCATTCTTTACAACAATGACTTTTAAGGCTCTTGGAAGTTAATAAACAAATAAACACATTTTAATCATGGGATCTATTGATATTTTATTAAAAAAAAAAATATATATATATATGTACATATATCATGCCATTTCAATTGAAAACAATTTAAAAACTAATTCAGTATCTTTTCAACAGTTCACAAATAAATTAGATCCTTTTCAATCAAAGACCAATTGTCAATTCTCAGTCACAGAACCCTTCGTGTCTTGATTTCTATAAAAATTGATTTAGTTTAAATTGCGCGGAGGGAACCGCTGCTTCTTAAAATATTTTTAAATAAGTCCAGGATATTTTTTTAGTTTTTAGATATCATTGAAAAAGATATATATACCAGATTCTACAGTTAATTTTTTCTAAGTACCGTATATTTATAGGTATCTTCTATATAAAGTGTTGTACTGTGTTAATACTATACTGTGTACTGTGTAATTAATAATAGATTGAGGTAACAAGGTCTACTTAAAAGAGGCTACAAAATAAAAAGTTATAGGACACCTTTCCGATAAGCTTTTTAATTCTTTCGGAATTTTTAGTAAAAGGTTTTTGGGATAAAATTAAAATTTTTTTACAGAATTTAATTATATATTTAAAATAATTAAATGGAACCCACGCTCATTTCCAATAATTCTTTAACTTGAAGTTCGAGCCCCGCACTGAACAAACAACTTTTTTCGTGGGGATATAACAAATTATGCATAGCTTTTTATATTTGGATTTAACGTCTTAAGTTATTGAAAAATATGTCGATTGAAGGTGTCTTGAAGCCCTTGAAAAGCAGAACTCGATGAAAGCAATGAATGGTCAAACACACTTATGGAGCAATCAGACTTAGCACAGTATGTAAAAACAAATGCGATTGAATGATTGAAATAACGTGCAGCAAGGAAAACACATGAACGACACAGAGAAACTGAAAGGCTTGAACGATTGAACAATTGAACTATTAAACGATTGAACAAAAGATAGGATTTGTTTGCTTTTCTGGCTGTTCTGCTCACTTTATTGGTCTTGTGATCGTGCCTACGTATGCGACTAATCGTACTCGCAGTTGAATTGGGATTTATGCCTACGGTCACTTGTACACCACTGCCCCCACCACATCCACTTCCACCGCCACAGCCACTTCCATTTGCACTTGCACCACTAGCACCACCAACTGCACCGCCAACGGCGACACTGCCGTAGCCCATGGAGTGCGATGGCGGTGCTGCATGCAACATTTTTTGCAGCCGAATCACCTAGAGATCGGAGAATATACACAGTTTCATGTAAATCTTAGTGAGCATTTCAGTGTTTTAAGTGTTTCTTATAAGCTTATCGTAGTGTCAATTGTGTCAAAAAAATAAATAACAGCAGAAATAGGTACTATTAATTAAGGAGCATAGTGCTGCAAAACAGTCGAATGGGGCAATTTTTCGGTTCGTTTTTTTAAGAAGGCTAATCATTAAATTAGTCAACATAAAATGCAAAAATTTATCGAGTTTAAAACGATTGTCAAAACTCAAAGTCAGATTGTTGAGACTAAAAAAAGATTGGTGATCGCGTAGCTATTTTTAGTGAAAATACCTACTATGCTTAATAGTGAACTTTAAAAAAAGTTCACTATACGTATTCCCATACCCCAAATTTACCCAGAAATATTAAAAAACTTTATTCAATAAAAAAAGTAATACTTTAAATTGATGTAAAATTTTAATTTTTGGATTAATTTTTTCATAATAATAATAATAATAAAAAATAAAAGGTTCTAGATAATTCTTTAAGCCACATAATGAATTATTACAAAATTGTTATAAAATGTTAGAAATTTTTTGGTTTTATCAAGTTACTATCGATGTTTTTGCAGCACTATCGGAGCGTCGTGAATAGTTATAATAAATGATAACAAGGCGCATTAGGAGAAATTAAATGTTATCTTTATTTAACCAAAATAAGGAGCATCTGGTGGCAGCAAAATTGTGCGCAAGCTTATGATAATAAAAGTCAAATAGATTATCCATTGATACTTTGGAATTCAATGAAACTAAAACCAACTTCAAGTAAACTACAGTTTAGGTATTTTTGTAATAATGAATTTTTTTTAACATAGTTCTTAAAATATCAAACTTTATCATATTAATTTTATATAAACAAGTTTATTTAAGGCTGTAAAATGTTATGTTGTCATTTGAGATTATCCTGATTTAAGGGGGGACATATGAGTAACTGGGGGAAAAAAAACGGATTTTCTGAAATTTGTTTTGGCCAAATGAAAAAGCCTATAGAAAATTTGTAAATTAGGTTTTATTATATTAAATGCAAAGTACAAAATAAATTTTTTTTTCGAAAAAATCGGAAACAAAATGGCGGCTGTTAAGCATTTCTTCGTAGGCCCTTTTTTTGAAGGGAGTCCATGGCCGGACAGCTAACGTCCTTAATTTTTTATGTAGAACAAATAATCAATTTTCGTTAGTTTCTACAGCTACCAACAGCTATCGACGCACGTAGAATTTTTGCGATATATTGATTTTTTGAAAAATGGTGAGTGATTGAAAAAAGAGTTAAAATTTTCACGAAAAAAAGTCACAAAATTGTTAATAAAAAAAAGTAAGCAATATAAAAAATCCTAAGTGTGTCGATAGATAAAGGTATTTTAAATATACTGTCAATATATAAAATCGATCGGTTAAGATTTGTTCTAGTTATGTTTCCGACAGTCTCAAAAAAAGTGGTTTCGAGAAAAACGCGTTTAAAGTTGTAAGTACTGTGGGATATACCTGTGAGGCATCGCCGCAGAATGGAAAATTTCAACACTTTGACACTTTTGCCGGACTCTACCTTAGGGTATGTTATTTTTAAGACTCTAAAGAATTTTTTAGGGGAAAAGAAAATTTCGATTTTGTTACTCAGTTAAGATTTTTCTGCTAGAGAGTATTTAGATTTATTTTGCTGATATTTTTTGTAATTTTTGTGCACATTGGGAATCTCAAACCTGACGACTATCGATAAAAGCCATACCCTATAACAGATACTTTTTGCATTAACTTAAAAAAACGCAATAACGGTGGACTATTTACCAAAGACAGTGTATACGATTAAATAATCTTCAATTAGCATTTGAAAAGGTACTCCTAGAAACTCTAATGAGAGCTATCGTGTGTCTATGCTCGAACGGGTTCGTGTTAAACGTGATCTTTATTTTTCCGTAAAACACTACTGCCTAGAATCAAAAGATGATGTTTTTGCCTCCGAGTGGGTCAATTATTTCTATAATCAAACTACAAAATACTCACACAACATCGAGGCAAATGCAACTAAAATATAGTAAATACGTTTCTACTATATTTTACACTACAGTGGTTAGTAGCGCAGCACTACGGTTGCCCCATATTTTTATATGATATTAGAACAGACAAATAATACAATTTATAAATCGGCATAAATAAATAATACTTTCGAATTCAATGCGACTACAGAAACAAAGGGCCTAAATGTACGGAAATCAAGAAACTGATAAGACAGGCAACTGAGGCAAATGAACGGTAACGGTTATGCTATTGGTTATCGATAACGGATTCGGGTTTCGACTGGTGGCAGAAATACTTAGACATGGGCGAGGCAAACTTACCGCATCCTGAAATAGAACAAAAGGAAACAAATCAAAATACGAAATGAAAGGGAGATCGGGGGGTTGGGATCTTCGGGATATAGTACTCCACCTGTCAAAGCCTCCATCTGGATCACCTGCCACCCGTAAACCGTAACCCGTAACCCGTAACCCATTATCAGTACCCCGTAACTTATCATTTTTAACTCGTCGTGACCCCAAAACCGACCCGGACATGCACAAAACTGGAGATATATTAACAGAACACAACCGAGCTATAGGAACAGAAACTCTTGAACTCCCAACACAGATACTCCCCCCATCCCACTCCCAGGACGAAGTTCTGGGTACGCTGGGTAGGTCAGACCACTTACCTTGCGGGATCCCTTTTCGGAGACCTGGACACTGCCGGCGTTTGACTCACAGGTGCTGCCACGTACCACGCCCACCGCACCGACCCCTCCCCCCAGAGCACCCACCGCTGAGGGGAAGGACCCGGTGGCAATGTTCGAAAACGGCACTGGCTCCGAGAACTTGATGGTGTGCAGCAGTTGCATGACCACGTTGGACACGTTTCGAAACGAGAGCTTTCGCCGACTGCCAATCGCCGATCGTACGCCCAAGGTGTTCAGCATGAGAGGCTGGAAAGAAAAATAATGTAACATTAAATAAATTAAAGAAATATAAATTCTTGTTTCATTATTTTAGTCATACAAAGCTAGTACACATAAATCGATTTTGACGTATTTTATAATATATTTTACGTGGTGAATCATAAATATAATAATAACAAATAAATTTCTTAAATGAAATCTAATCAAGAAAAGATGACTATAGTCAGTAGGTCGATAACTCCACGTCTCTCCTTTGCAGTAGCCCTTACAAGCATGTATTTAAAACAATTTAGTTTTTCGTGTTTTACTCAACTGGTGCTGAGCTGAACTTACTGAATTTTATTTTCTAGATATAAATAAAAATTATTATTATTATGAAATACTTTTAGAATAGTTGGCATCTGACCTACACAAAAGTCATTTTTTGAGTCAATTAACAAACTTAAACTACGTGCGTGAAGACTGAATGCAAAATTATATATTAGTATCTCTTATTTACACGAGTACCAGGTATACAATCTCTTAAAATACTTTAATTTGAATAGAATTTAGTGTTTAATGATAGTATATTCAATTAAACATGAGAAAAGTGGTACATAAGGAATAAATATATATTAAATGCGCCTTTTACTTATTATATATTTATTTCTATGTAGAAAAACATATAAAATAATTATAAACATAAATAATTAAACAAAACTTGACGACTTGTTTATAATAATTTAAACATTTTATAAAGATTTAAATTTATTTAATTCAATTACATTTTTACATACTTGTTGGTTACAAGTGATTTGTAAATCATACTTACTTTTCAGAAGTTTATGAATTTAAACTTTTTGTTACGTTTAATTTTGTCCAATTTTTAATTATGGGTGTCCCTTAGATAAAATTAATCAAACTTTCTATATTGTATGTCCAACTAAACTAAGAAATTCTATGCGAAGGTCTATCAAACCATGATGCTCATTTAATCTTGAACTCTAAGTTCCATTTCCCATTTTGGGAGGTGCTGAACTTACCTTGCGGCGATGTGGCGGTGGCACGATGAAGAAGGTGTCGACTCCATGGTCGCGCAGGTACGAGGATCGTTCGTCTCCATGACCAGCCTCCACCTCGTACTCCCCAGAGAGGGAGTCCAGGGTGCCCCGGGTAACGTGCACCCGGCCTGGCTCGCCACCCGACTCCATGTGGTTGGCCAGGGTGACGTCGTTGGACCAGACATCGAATTGCCATTTCCGGAGGCCCAGAACACCACAAAGCACTCGGCCCGTGTGGATGCCAACGCGCATATTCAGGATGACGTCAGTGGCCTCCACCACAGTGCTGTACAAAATTAGGAGAAATAATATCATTAAAATGCATGTGAAGGATACTTTAACCCGAAATATGGAATAAAATTTTTCCTCATGAAAGTCTTTAAAGAATAAATATATTAAACACTCTTACGCAATGGCATCGATCATATCAAGTCCCATTTCCACGGCGCACTTCGCATGATCCTTTCGAGGCTCTGGCAAGCCGGAAACGCAATAGTAACAATCTCCAAGGATTTTAATTCGCAAGCAATGGTTGTCCTGGCATAAAAGAAAGTTAAAAATATGTTAAATATTTATTTGTTTTAACGTTTTAAGAATCTTAAGCCTTACATAATGGTTTATTTTTATACACTTGCAGAGGGTATTATAATTTTGGTCAAAGGTGTGCAACGCAGTGAAGGAGACACCTCCGACCCTATAAAGTATATATATTCTTGATCAGGATCACCTCCTGAGTTGATATGAGCATATCCGTCTGTCCGTCTGTCTGTCCGTCTGTCTGTTTCTACGCAAACTAGTCTCTCAGTTTTAAAGCTATCGACTTGAAACTTTGCACACACCCTTCTTTCCTTTGCACGCAGTATATAAGTCGGAACGGCCCGGATCGGCCGACTATATCTTATAGCTGCCATATAACTGATTGATCGGAAATGGTATAACTTCGGTGTTTTTAAAGTTAGAGAGTTCAAATTTTACAAGAGCGCTATTTTTGCGCTAAAATAATACGACATGCCAAGTTTTGTAAGGATCGGCCGGCTATATCTTATAGCTGCCATATAACTGAACGATCGGAAATGGTTTTTGGTAGAAATACCAACTTTGGTATGTTTGAAGATGGAAGTTTGGGACTTTTTTTTAGATTTTGTATTGTAATAAATTGGATTATATATTCATATTCCCATAAGGAGCGGCCAACTATATCCGATGTTTGCGATAAATATCCGGTTACTGCAAGGGTATATCAACTTCGGCTCCGCCCGAAGTAAGCTTTCCTTTCTTGTTATTCAATTTTTATACCCTTGCAGAGGGTATTATAATTTTGTCCAAAAGTGTGCAACGCAGTGAAGGAGAACTCTCCGACCCTATAAAGTATATATATTCTTGATCAGGATCACCTCCTGAGTTGATATGAGCATGTCCGTCTGTCTGTCTGACCGTCTGTCCGTCTGTCCGTCTGTCTGTTTCTACGCAAACTAGTCTCTCAGTTTTGAAGCTATCGACTTGAAACTTTGCACACACCCTTCTTCCCTTTGCACGCAGTATATAAGTCGGAACGGTCCGGATCGGCCGACTATATCCTATAGCTGCCATATAACTGATTGATCGGAAAAGGTATAACTTTGGTGTTTTTAGAGTTAGAGAGTTTAAATTTGACACTAGAGCTATTTTTGGCAAAACATTACGACATGCCAAATTTCAAAAGGATCGGCCGACTATATCTTATAGCTGCCATATAACTGAACGATCGGAAATGACCCAACTTTCGTGTTTTTGAAGATAGAAAGCTGAAACTTAATACAGATTCTATTTTTGGCCAGTTGATCCAACCTACCAAATTTCATTAGGATCGGCCAACTATATCCTATAGCTGCCATATAACTGAACGATCGTAAATGGTAGAAATATTAACTTTCGTATTTTTGAAGATAGAAGCTTGGAACTTTTTTTTAGATTTTTTATACCCTTGCAGAGGGTATTATAATTTTGGTCAAAAGTGTGCAACGCAGTGAAGGAGACATCTCCGACCCTATAAAGTATATATATTCTTGATCAGGATCACCTCCTGAGTTGATATGAGCATGTCTGTCTGTCCGTCTGTCCGTCTGTCCGTCTGTCTGTCCGTCTGTCTGTCCGTCTGTCTGTCCGTTTCTACGCGAACTAGTCTCTCAGTTTTGAAGCTATCGTCTTGAAACTTTGCACACACCCTTCTTTCCTTTGCACGCAGTATATAAGTCGGAACGGCCCGGATCGGTCGACTATATCCTATAGCTGCCATATAACTGATTGATCGGAAGTGGTATAACTTTGGTGTTTTTAGAGTTAGAGAGTTCCAATTTGACACAAAAGCTATTTTTGGCAAAATAATACGACGTGCCAAATTTTATAAGGATCGGTCGACTATATCCTATAGCTGCCATATAACTGAACGATCGAAAATGACGCAACTTTCGTGTTTTTGAAGATAGAAAACTGAAACTTAGTACAGATTCTATTTTTGATCAGTTGATCCAACTTACCAAATTTCATTAGGATCGGCCGACTATATCCTATAGCTGCCATATAACTGAACGATCGGAAATTTGGTAGAAAGTTTTTGGTAGAAATACCAACTTTGGTATTGTTAAAGATAGAAGTTTGGGACTTGTTTTAAATTTTGTATTATAATAAATTGGGTTATATAATCATATTCTCATAAGGATCGGTCAACTATATCCCATGTTTGCGATATATATCCGGTTTTAACTGCAAGGGTATATCAACTTCGGCTCCGCCCGAAGTTAGCTTTCCTTTCTTGTTATTGTAATAAATTGGTTTTATTATGATGTAATCATAAGGATCGGCAAACTATATCCGATGTTTGCGATATTTATCCGGTTTTAACTGCAAGGGTATATCAACTTCGGCTCCGCCCGAAGTTAGCTTTGCTTTCTTGTTTATTAATAAATCTAACCGATTTAAAACAGATGTTCTCCACCCTATGTGCGAAGGTGAATTTTAGTTTCTAAAAGATTAAAAACTATACTACAGATAAGCTTCTATTTAAGGGGGGATATCTGAGTAGAGTTTTGAAAAAATCGAAAAATTTTTTTCGCTTAAAAAATTTTTTAGGGTCTTAAAAATAACATATCAAAAGATTGAGTCCGGGAAAAGTGTCTAAATGTCGAAATTTTCCATTCTGCGGCGATGCCTCACAGGTATATCCCACAGTACTTACAACTTTAAACGCGTTTTTCTCGAAACCACTTTTTTTGAGACTGCCGGAAACATAACTAGAACCACTCTTAACCTATCGATCTAAAATTTTGACAGTATACTCAGAATACCTATTTCTATCTATATTTTTTTTATATTGTTTACTTTTTTTTTATCAATCATTTTGTAACGTTTTTTGATTGTGAAAATTGAAAATTTTTTTCAATCACTCACCATTGTAAAAAATCAATATATCGAAAAAATCCTACGTGTGTCGATAGCCGTTGATGTACAGAAACTAACTAAACTAACTGATTTTTTATTCTAGATAAAAAATTAAGGACGTTAGGTGTTCGGCCATGGACCCCCCTTAAAAAAATAGGGCCTACGAATAAAGGCTGCAGAGCCGCCATTTTATTTTCGATTTATTAAAAAAAAATTTTGTATTTTAAATATAATATAATAAAACCTCATTTACAAATTTTCGATTAGCTTTTTCATTTGGCCAAAAAAAAATTCCAGAAAATCCGCCTTTTTTTCTCCTGTTACTCAGATGTCCCCCCTTAAGAATGTTGTCTCATGTGTGATGTTGAAAAAATCAGTTTTTTTCACATATTTCGATAGCACTGTTATTTGAGAAAATACTGTTCAAATAAAAATATCAATTATTGACAGAGATACAGACCATAATCGAGAGCGCGCCTACAACGAATAGTATGAGTTACTCGATAGCGTCTAAACTTTAAACGCGTTTTTCTCGGAACGACATTTTTGTGTGCGGCGCCGGTTATTTACAAAATTCTATGGTACCGATCTAGCTGAAATTTGGATATGTTCTTCTAAAAAGTAACACCTCTGTCCCGTACTAGAATCATTTATCATTAATTTAAAATTAATTTTGAAAATTGAAACGATCGCATTATTTTTTATTACAAACATTTTTTTTTTAAATAACCTCTTAAAGTAGGCCGGAACATGAGACTACATCCTTAAGAAATATCTTCTAAAATTCAGCTCGACCTTATATACCATTTTGTTTCTTTTTTTCCATTCTACCAGAAACTAAAAAGGCATTCAGGGTTTCTTTAAATGGTTTTTAATCGGCTTATGGCCGACTATAAGGGGCAAGGATAAATCACAAAATACCAAAAATAAAACAAGTAGGCATTTTCCCCTACTTACATGGGCCAGTTGGTCAAAGCGGCCAAAGAGCTCGTTGAGTAGACGGACCAGCTCCTGGGCGCTGCACTGCGACGAGAGAACCGTGAAGCCAACGATGTCCGCGAAAAGAATGCTCACATTCTCGTGCTTTTGGATGTAGATGCGATGGAACTGTCCTGCCACTGGCGAGAGGATGTCGTTTTTCATCTGCATGGCCACATGTTGGGGAAGAACTGAGAGAAGCAGTCGTTCCAGCTTTTCGTTCTCGTCCTGAATCTCCAGCCTGGCAGCTATGCAATTGCGGGTATCAAGGAAGGTTCGTCGCTGGGCCCGCTCCATCATAATGTTAACCACCAGCCCAGCCACGTTCACGCCAATGAAAATCACAATGTTGGCAATCAGCTGGTTGTACTCCAGATACCGCAAAGTATCCGTGAAGATCTTGTACACTGTCAGGCTGATGTGTACCAAGGGCAGAGCGATTCCGAAGGCCACCGCCTCCCAGATCTGTAGTGGCATCATCGCATAGGCCAGGAACACCACAAATACGATCTGCCAGACGCCCTCGGCCATTACCTCCTTGGTGTCCACCGGGAAGACACTGCCCAGAGTGGGCATCGACACCACACAAATGCTGGCGGTAAAGAGCAGGATTCCATAGCAGAGGGTCGGCAGGTGATGGTCCTTGATCACGGAGCACTGCAGCAGGACCAGGATCACTCCGAACAGCACACCAACGATTGCATTAAAAATATTCTGTGGGTTGGTAAGATAATTATGATATTTAGGCGGTGGCGTTTACCCTTTTCTTATTATACGGGACGGCTGAATAAATCTTCCCCAATTTCCTGATTGGATGGAAGTAACTTAACACAAAACAAGAAAGGAAAGCAAACTTCGGGCGGAGCCGAAGTGTATATACCCTTGCAGTTAAAACCGGATATATATCGCAAACATCGGATATAGTTGGCCGCTCCTTATGGGAATATGAATATATAATCCAATTTATTACAATACAAAATCTAAAAAAAGTCCCAAACTTCTATCTTCCGATCGTTCAGTTATATGGCAGCTATAAGATATAGTCGGCCGATCGTTATGAAATTTGTTAGGTCGGATAAACTGACCAAAAATATAATCTGTACCAAGTTCCAGCTTTCTATCTTCAAAAACACGAAAGTTGGGTCATTTCCGATCGTTCAGTTCTATGGCAGCTATAGGATATAGTCGGCCGATCCTTACGAAATTTGGCATGTCGTATTATTTTGCCAAAAATAGCTCTCATGTGAAATTTGAACTCTCTAACTCTAAAAACACCGAAGTTATACCATTTCCGATCAATCAGTTATATGGCAGCTATAGGATATAGTCGGCCGATCCGAGCCGTTCCGACTTATATACTGCGTGCAAAAGAAAGAAGGGTGTGTGCAAAGTTTCAAGACGATAGCTTTAAAACTGAGAGACTCAGGAGGTTATCCTGATCAAGAATATATATACTTTATAGGGTCGGAGATGTCTCCTTCACTGCGTTGCACACTTTTGGACAAAATTATAATATCCTCTGCAAGGGTATAAAAAAAAAGATTATGATATTATTTTTATTATAAATAATTAAATACTAGGATTAAAAAATGTTTAATTCTTAACTTCCCAAAAGTGTTCTGGAAAGTCTACAAGTACAAATTAATTCCATGATTGGTCCGCGATTCATTAAATATCCTCAAAACTTAATATATAGAAGATTTTGTTTTTATACCATTGCAGAGGGTATAATAATTTTTTCCAAATATGTGCAACGTGAAGAAGACATCTTTGACCCTATAAAGTATATATATTCTTGATCAGGAATACCTCCTGAGTTGATATGAGCATGTCCGTCTGTCTGTCTGTTTCTACGCGAACTAGTCTCTCAGTTTTAAGGCTATCGACTTGAAACTTTGCACACACCCTTTATTCCTTTTCACGCAGTATATAAGTTGGAACGGCCGACTATATCCTATAGCTGCCATATAACTGATTGATCGGAAATGGTATAACTATCATGTTTTAGTTAAAGAGTTCAGATTTTACATGACATATATTTTGGAAAAATAATACGACTTGCAAAATTTTATAACGATCGACTGACTATATCTTATAGCTGCCATATAACTGAACGATCGGAAATGTTATTTGGTAGAAATACCAACTTTGGTATTTTTGAAGATAGAAGTTTGGGACTTTTTTTTAGATTTTATTTTATAATAAATAGGGTTATATTATTATATTCTCATAAGGATCGGCCAACTATATCCGATGTTTGCGATATATATCCGGTTTTAACTGCAAGGGTATATAAACTTCGGCTCCGCCCGAAGTTAGCTTTCCTTTCTTGTTTGGAATGTAGTTACCTGAAAGGTGGGTGCATTATTGAAGGACAACGACAAGGCCGCCATGACGCCGCAAAGAACGACGACCAGGGCCACCACGCCCAGCACCGAGAAGCGCTGCAGCTTGAGCGTGTACCGCTGGTAGAGACATTCCAGCTCGTCGTTCTCGAACCGCAGCGTGTTGAGCGGACGGCCGCGCGTCGCTTTCACGGCATGGTCCATGCGGCGTCGCCGCCGCTGCCGCTCTTTGGCGGCTGCCTCCGATGTTTGGGGTGTGTTTTTTGGAGCTGTCGAGATAAAAATAAATAGAAAAAAAATATATATAAAAAAGGCTCTAGAGAAGACATTAAGACGAAAACTTGGCCAAAATCAGTAGCGTTTCATTTTGTTTCATTGGCGTATCATAGAGAAATATTGAAAATATGTATTATATTTTTCTATTAAGGAATATATTTTACTATATATGCCTGACTTGAAAAGCTTTCAATGTTAATTATCATTGTTTCGAAGTATTAATAACCCAGTACTTTTAATATTTAGTTTCAAAGTTATATAAAATCTACGTTTATCTTATGGCATATTGTTAAAAATTGTTTAATTTATTTTAAAAATTAAAAAAGATAAAATAATAATAATATAATATGTAGGATATACTATTTCTTAATATTTTAGTATTTTACAAAAGTATACTTGATAAGCAAACATACAATAAGCATGCATAAAACAGTTTAAACATTCTTTGAAATTAAATTTCTCTGAAAATTTGGTCAAAAGCAAAATACAATCGAGTCCCGATAATTCGAAATGGCAAGAGGATCACTTTTTTACGAATTAGACGGGAATTCAATTTATCGAGATTTCTATTTAACGGGGCTCAAAAATGAAAGAGTCGAATAAACGGGGTTTTTACATTTCACATTATGTTTACATATGTATTTATCTTTATTAAAATTAAACAAACATTATAAGTATGTACATTTTTCAAATTCAACATTAAATTTTAATAATAAACAAGAAAGGAAAGCTAACTTCGGGCGGAGCCGAAGTTTATATACCCTTGCAGTTAAAACCGGATATATATCGCAAACATCGGATATAGTTGGCCGATCCTTATGATTACATCATAATAAAACTAATTAACTAAAATATAAAAACTAAAAAAAGGTCCCAAACTTCTATCTTCAAAAATATGAAAGTTGATATTTCTACCAAGTACCATTTCCGATCGTTCAGTTATATGGCAGCTATAGGATATAGTCGGCCGATCCTAATGAAATTTGGTAGGTTGGATCAACTGGCCAAAAATAGAATCTGTATTAAGTTTCAGCTTTCTATCTTCAAAAACACGAAAGTTGGGTCATTTCCGATCGTTCAGTTATATGGCAGCTATAAGATATAGTCGGCCGATCCTTATGAAATTTGGCATGTCGTAATGTTTTGCCAAAAATAGCACTCATGTCAAATTTGAACTCTCTAACTCTAAAAACACCAAAGTTATACCATTTCCGATCTATCAGTTATATGGCAGCTATAGGATATAGTCGGCCGATCCCGGCCGTTCCGACTTATATACTGCGTGCAAAGGAAAGAAGGGTGTGTGCAAAGTTTCAAGACGATAGCTTCAAAACTGAGAGACTAGTTCGCGTAGAAACGAACAGACAGACGGACAGACGGACAGACGGACATGCTCATATCAACTCAGGAGGTGATCCTGATCAAGAATATATATACTTTATAGGGTCAAATATGTCTCCTTCACTGCGTTGCACACTTTTGGACAAAATTATAATACCCTCTGCAAGGGTATAAAAATTAAACAATTAAGCAAAAACATTAAATTATAAACAAGAAAGGAAAGCTAACTTCGGGCGGAGCCGAAGTTTATATACCCTTGCAGTTAAAACCGGATATATATCGCAAACATCGGATATAGTTGGCCGATCCTTATGGGAATAGGAATATATAATCCAATATTTTACAATACAAAATCTAAAAAAAATCCCAAACTTCTATCTTCAAAAATACGAAAGTTGATATTTCTACCAAGTACCATTTCCGATCGTTCAGTTATATGGCAGCTATAGGATATAGTCGGCCGATCCTAATGAAATTTGGTAGGTCGGATCAACTGACCAAATATATAATCTGTACCAAGTTCCAGCTTTCTATCTTCAAAAACACGAAAGTTGGGTCATTTCCGATCGTTCAGTTATATGGAAGCTATAGGATATAGTCGGCCGATCCTTACGAAATTTGGCATGTCGTATTATTTTGCCCTCATGTCAAATTTGAACTCTCTAACTCTAAAAACACCAAAGTTATACCATTTCCGATCAATCAGTTATATGGCAGCTATAGGATATAGTCGGCCGATCCGGGCCGTTCCGACTTATATACTGCGTGCAAAGGAAGGAAGGGTGTGTGCAAAGTTTCAAGACGATAGCTTTAAAACTGAGAGACTAGTTTGCGTAGAAACAGACAGACGGACAGACAGACGGACAGACAGACGGACAGACGGACAGACGGACATGCTCATATCAACTCAGGAGGTGATCCTGATCAAGAATATATATACTTTATAGGGTCGGAGATGTCTCCTTCACTGCGTTGCACACTTTTGACCAAAATTATAATACCCTCTGCAAGGGTATAAAAACAAAAATTCAAGCTTTAAAATAATTGGTAATTTTTATACCCTTGCAGAGGGTATTATAATTTTGTCCAAAAGTGTGCAACGCAGTGAAGGAGACATCTCCGACCCTATAAAGTATATATATTCTTGATCAGGATCACCTCCTGAGTTGATATGAGCATGTCCGTCTGTCCGTCTGTCCGTCGGTCCGTCTGTCCGTCTGTCTGTCTGTCTGTTTCTACGCGAACTAGTCTCTCAGTTTTAAAGCTATCGTCTTGAAACTTTGCACACACCCTTCTTTCCTTTGCACGCAGTATATAAGTCGGAACGACCGGGATCGGCCGACTATATCCTATAGCTGCCATATAACTGATTGATCGGAAATGATATAACTTTGGTGTTTTTAGAGTTAGAGAGTTCAAATTTGACACGAGTGCTATTTTTGGCAAAACATTACGACATGTCAAATTTCATAAGGATCGGCCGACTATATCCTATAGCTGCCATAGAACTGAACGATCGGAAATGACCCAACTTTCGTGTTTTTGAAGATAGAAAGCTGGAACTTGGTACAGATTCTATTCTATATTCCGGTTTTAACTGCAAGGGTATATCAACTTCGGCTCCGCCCGAAGTTAGCTTTCCTTTTTTGTTGGTAACAATAATTGGTAACAGCAAACTAAACGAAAACAGTGAGAGAAACACAAAGTTCATGATGCATAGCGACATAAAGGCGGCATAGCTGTCTGAAAAATCAAACGGTGCTTTAACTACAAAAAATTTTGCATTGCATTACGATTTATAAGAGGTTCAATGTTCTTTCCGTTGCGCCAAATACTATGAATTAACGAGGGGACCAAAATGTATGGAATTTTTACGAATTAACGAGTTTTTTTCAAGGGGTCAGAATTTTTTACGAATTATCGCGATTTTCGATTTAGCGGGGTACGAATTATCGGGATTCGACTGTATTTTTATTTGTATGGAAACATTTATTTCATATACGCATAAGTATTGGCCACTTAAAAAAGTGCCAATGCTTTTTAACGAATTATTTACATTTTTTTTATGTGGATTGAAATTTTACTTTTATATTTTTGGAGGATTATTAATGAGTCAATAAGAACTTTTCCCCTTCGAGCCAAATTAATACACCTTCTTTGCTTCGAAAGAACTGGGTATTAGCACTCAAAGGGTCCCACAAGCAAAGTAAACAAGAAAGGAAAACTAACTTCGGGCAGAGCCGAAGTTGATATACTCTTGCAGCTAAAACCGGATATATATTGAAACATCGGATATAGTTGGCCGATCCTTATGATTACATCATAATAAAACCAATTAATCAAAATAAAAAATCTAAAAAAAATTCCCAAGCTTCTATCTTCAAAAATACGAAAGTTGATATTTCTACCAAATACCATTTCCGATCGTTCAGTTATATGGCAGCTATAGGATATAGTCTGCCGATCCTTATGAAATTAAGCATGGCGTATTATTTTCCCAAAAATAGCTTTCTTGTAAAATTTGAACTCTCAAACTTTAAAAACTCCAAAGTTATACCATTTCCGATCAATCAGTTATATGGCAGCTATAGGATATAGTCGGCCGATCCGGCCGAGCCGATCCGATCCGTTCCGACTTATATACTGCGTGCCAAGGAAAGAAGGGTGTGTGCAAAGTTTCAAGACGATAGCTTTAAAATTGAGAGACTAGTTTGCGTAGAAACAGACAGACAGACGGACAGACGGACATGCTTATATCAACTCAGGAGGTGATCCTGATCAAGAATATATATACTTTATAGGGTCGGAGATGTCTCCTTCACTGCGTTGCACACTTTTGACCAAAATTATAATACCCTCTGCAAGGGTATAAAAATGTAACGAATACGTTTAAGAATTTTGAGCAGTTGACCTTCAGCCACTGCATGCTGGCCATGTGAGGTGTGTCGGGAGGATTTGGGTGGTGGGTGGATCTTTGAGAAATGGGAAGTGGAAAATGGACGTGTGTTCAGTTCATGGCACGCAACCAATGCACTATGGTCCCAGTGCGGCATAAAATCAAAAAAATATTATGAAACGTTTTTTTTTAACATGCACAAAATTTTGATGAATAGACATTCCAAATAAATATAATTATACATTTTTTTGAGCTTTATTGCAACCCTGTTAATTTAGCGCGGTCATTTAACCAGCTGATTCATTGCAATCCTGAAACTTGCAAATTGGCGGCAACTTTAAATTGTGTTACAATTAACTTAAATTGAGTGAAAATACCAGATTAAATATGGAAAACAAAGATCAAGGTATGAAAAATCAATAATAAAACTATTTCGCGTTCTCATTACATTTGTGTCTGTGTTGTCAATTATTTTGTAAGTGTCTATTTAGCAGGAATGTCGCATATCGGCGCAAGCAACTAACCAGGTGAAGTTACTTATAAATATATAGGAATTCAAATTTAATTGGTCTTCTTTGCCCATTTTTGTCCCTTTTCGAAAAAACAATACATGTTGCAGGTTTTTATGAGTTCTCTCATGGAGTTTGGGGGGAGAGCCACCGGAAAGACGGCGCTGTTAGAGGTTTAAATTAAATATTATAACTAATAGAACCGTATTTAGTAAAAGTTGTAGTTCTTTTTATGAAAAACTTAAGT